AGGGGACAACCGGTCCAGATCCTCCGCATCATCCGGAGAATTCCAGTGTTCCTGAAGTCTGGAAGGGCCCGGGAGGTTCGGCGTAGCTAGGGATCTTGGTAGGAAAAATATTAAATAAATGAAGCAAAAATCATTCTATCCGCAAAATAGATCGCGGCCGCAATTCGACCCATATTCCATTTTTGCCATTCAGCCTCTCTCTCTCTCTCTCTCTCTCTCTCTCTCTCTCTCTCTGGTAGTCCCCCCCCCTTCCCCCCCTCTCTCTCTCTCGTGCGATTGCTTAGTCCAGTTGCTTTGGGCCTTTGGCTACCTTAGGGCTGCATTTCCCACGCCCACGCGGTAGACAATTATGGAACTTCCGCGGGAAAAGGCAGCAGGTTTGGACGGGGTACCTATGGAGCTATACAAGGAGCTCAGGCCGTCGATGGAGACCTGTCTCCATCCCAAACGCACTTTATAAGATCCTTGTCGAAGTATTGGCAAATAGGCTAAATCGGATCCTGCCTGCCCTCATTCACGCACCCCAAACAGGGTTCGTTCAGCTGTGCCAATTGTCTCGAATATTGTGTTGGCTCGGCAGGCCTAGCAGCGGCCTGAGGGCATGGCGCAACGATTGGCCTTTATCATGCTGATCTTGAAAAGGCATACGCCAGGGTTCGGTGGGAGTTTCTCTTTTGCGGTATGCAGCACAGGGGATTGGGGTGCGCGTCTGTGGTCGGACCTTCCAGTTGTTGACCTCAGCTCAGACAGCCATGCAGGTGAATGGGGTTAGATCCTCACCGATCCAGGTCACCCGCTCGATACATCAGGGGTGTCAGCTGTCACCAGCACTGTCTGTGCTGTATACTGAACCACTTCACGATATTCTTCAAGCTAATGATCTACTGCAGGGGCTGCATGTGGGAACCGGGCAGTGTTAAAATGCACGGTCGTTGCGGAGGATAGATGGGCCATCATCCCACCAGCGGTACAGCAGTTGTGGCTTTGGACGACAGATCTCGCAACCTTCTGCAGGTACTTGGGGGCTCGGGTAAACTGGGACAAATCATGCGCGGTGATCTCTGCAGGCACCCCCCCCAACAGAGGGATGGGTGTGCCCACCCTGCAGGAGGGTGATTGGGTTTGTTTTTTGCGAGCAATGGTGACCCCTGCGGATGATGGGTGCTCCCAAATGGCAAATTTGGAGCCGAAGCAGTGACCAAACTAGCGACCTGGTGTCCTAGGACATCTATGGGATGCTACGGCAAGGCGCTGGTCATCAAGAACGCGGTCTTTTCAGCACTATGGTACGCGGGGGCAATCCACATGCCAACTAAGCGGACGTTCCAGATCTTGAGGCAGGCAGTGCACTGGTTTCTTTGGGCTAGTAACATGAACATAGGATGGCATTGCCCAGGTGGCTTGGCCCAGTTAATCCACCTCAAGCACGGGAGGGGGCTGGGTATCATTGGCCCACAACTGAAGATTATGGCCCTGCACATTTGTAACTTATTGTGGTATCTTTTGGGGAATGTGGGGGAGGTCTGGACAGGTATAGCACGGGAGCGCTTGGCATATGCGTTAAGGCGGTTCCCGCAGATGGTGGCTCTTAGCCTCAGGAGTAGCTGCCTGCTTTGCCATATTCAGAGGGGGGGGGGGGGGGGGGGGGGGGGCTGTGGCGGAAAATACAGCTCTCTTGTTCTCCCCCGAACACTGCGGATGAGCTTTTCAATCAATACTTGCTCGAGAACCCATATATTTGTGACTTGCAGGGGGATGTTTTCCACTGGCAGGGTGCAAAAGGGGCATTTGGCAAGCAGTGGGTGGAATGTGGCATTTTTAAGATCGGCCAGCTGTGGGATGACGCTAGGATGGATTGGTATACCCCCAAACAGATGGCGGTGCTTCTCCCGCATCAGGTACAGAGGAATGCATGCGCGCTTTATGGCCCTTTGTCAGGCAGTCCCAGACCAGTGGGTGGAACTGTTACAGGGTCCCCAGGTAGCTCATGGAGAATGGGTGAAGCGGTGAGGAGAGCAAATCCCCCCAGCGACTGTTTTTTTCTGGAAAAAGTCACGCTGCAAGGGGAACTCAGAGTGTTCCATAGGGACAATGTCATAGGGGGGTTGGGACTGGTTGAGCCGCTTGAGAGGGACATGGGTGCTCCGCGACTTGTCATGCTGAGTCCCGAGGTGGAAACGGTTTCGGTCTGCGAGATAGATGGAATATAGGACGTTAAATGTGCAGATTGCAAGACGGGCCTTGGTGGTGGACCCCCAAATTGGACTTGGCCGGTGCAGCAGCACAAGAGCAGGAAAATGCCTCTGCACCAGGTGACCACCAAGATCATGTACAAGTCATTGCTCTCTTCGGTGGACATCTTGGGTGAACTCAGGAGCAGGTGGGCCAAGCGAGATTGGATTCCAACGGCCCACCTGGAGTGATGGGGCCATAGGAAATGGCAGACACAATTGGCAATCTTGCGGGATCTTCCAGATCAAAAGCAGGCCGGCTTGCTATGGATGATATATCATCTTGCAATCCCCACTGCACAGTGGCTAGCGTCCAAAAGTCAGCAGAAGGAGACACCTTCACAGCTGGATCCGACCAAGTGGAAGTTGGAAACAATTCCATATTTGTTTGTAGAATGCCCTGCAATGAACCCGGTCTGGCAGATACTCGTCAGACGTCAAAGCACAAGTAGTCTCAGATCTGCACAAAGTCTCCAGTTAACGTGAAGTGATATCTGAAACAGTATCTCATTACCAATAGACAAAGAGAGTGGAGGGAGGAGAGACAGAGGAGAAGGTGGAAGAGAGAAACAATGATCACACCATAGTAATCCAATCAAACCCACTTCTTCTCCGGGCTTCCTCTCGCCTCCACGCCATCAACCAGTATACGATAACAAGGATGATAAGTCCTGATCACCCAGAAGTGCCACGTGGCACTCTTATCTCGTGCAGACCATGAAGACAACAGCAGAATACAGTAACGACGTCAACCTCAAGTGAGTACCCGATCCCAATCATCCGCAGATCCCGATCCCCTCCTTGTCGCAACCAGTCCTCATGTAGACAGCATGGCCAATGCCATGTCAGATGTAAAGACAGGTGGCATGCACCACATCATCAACGTAGACAGTTGGCAGCGCCACATCAGCAATGTAGACCAGTGCGGCATGCGCCACACCAGCAATGTAGATAAGTGGCATGCGCCACATTAGCAATGTAGACCAGTGGCATGCGCCACATCAGCAATGTAGACAAGTGGCATGCGCCACATCAGCAGGGTAGACAGGTGGCAGCGCCACATCAGCAATGCCTGGCGCACAGAACAGAAAGCGCCAGCATGCTGCCACAGTCCCACGTCGTTGTCCACAGCGCCTGCCCACAGCCAGCTCAAGCCAGCGTTTCGCCAGCACGAGCCAGGGTCAATGCCAGCGTCCAGTCAGAGTCGAGCCAGCGTCAAAGCAGCATAGCAAGACTGGATGTTGACCATCCGGAGACCCAGCCTTATGTAGCATTTGGTGAGGCTGTCTGGCCTCAGGTCCCCTTTCCACAGTCGTGCAGATTGGCTCACAGCCGAGGGCCTGGATTGTACAGTTGCAGATTTCCCCGTTTGTCCTGATGCTATCTGGGTACCGGCATACAAACAAGTGTGTGTGTCTGACCAGCGGCCTGGGCTGGGTACACTGTGTGACTTTGACTGTTGGATGTCCGACAGTTGACTTTTGTCAACTGTCTCACGTTCAGGCCCTGGATCTTTTTGTGGGGTTCTTTTCCCCCCTTCGGCCTGGGTCTGAGTGCGGCCAGGTAAGGCCCTCCGACAATCTAGGAGACATACGGCATGGTTATTGCAGCCCAATGGTACAGGCGTTTCAGGAATGGTGGGGGCAGATGGCCGAAGGCTGTACTCCACTGAGGGTCATGGAGGAACACACCTCTGTGATCCTGTTGGGAACAGTCGTAGGAATGGACCATACAGATAGGACAAAGTTGTACGCGGCCAAAGTACTGCGGCCGGCACTTCTTTCGGCCATGTGGACTGCATGGAATGAAAGCGTGAGGTTGGTTTTGATAGTGGGTTTTCTCCGATATAAGAGGAAAGGGCCGGAGCATATGGGTAAGTTTTGGGCGGTCTGGGAAAGATATGGACAGTTGGGGCAGAGAGCTCACCAGACTGCAGGACGGAGTTTTGGAGGGCTGATGTGGTGCGGTGGAAGTTAGTTAATTCAGGCTATTACATTGTCAAGTGTCTAGTAGATAGAGTGATTACCTGGTTAATACATGGGGGGAAACAAGTGAGGAAAGATTGGCAGGGCAGGTGGTAGGTTTAGGTTTTGAGGGGTACGACAAGGGGAGTGGGGTAGCATAGTGGTGTGGATAGAGCAGGAATTGGAACCTGGTAACCCGAGCTGGGAGAATGGAGAGTAGTGACTGTAGGGGAGCTATGAATATGAGGCTAAGTAGGCGATGCAGGTAGGGGATTGTAAATAGGGGAACGGAATAAGACAATGGAAGGATGAGAGGGTAACACAGGAAGGGTGTAAGGTGAAGGAGGTGTGCAGGACAACTGCTACTGGCAACCCGAGAGGGCTCCCTTTTGACGCACGGGCTAGGGTAGGCTTACCGGGAGCGTATCTATTTTGAGCGACTGGGTACCTTGGGATGTTTCCCTACCAGAATGGACTTCTCTTCCGGGTTAGATGCTTTCGTACTCTGGAGACGAGCAGGGGCACCCCCCCCCCCCCCCCCCCCCCCCCCCCCCCCCCCCCGGGCAGGCAGCTAGGGCCACAGGGGTGAGGGTATATTGTGCTGGTCGTCTGGGCTCTTGACCCTCATACTCTTTTTCTCCCTACTTGCCGTCTGAAAACAATGCCTGCCAGTGATAAGCAACCAGACTGGTGCCGCTCAGAATAGAAGGGGCGGAGTGTGTGTGGGTGGGAAAAAAAAAAAGAATACAGTGCAAGCCCGCTGACGTTTACAGAGTTCAGGTTGTTCTTCTGGCGAACTTGAGTCGCTTTCGGATCAAAGTGTAGCTTGGTACATTGATAATATTTGAGCTTCAAGAAAAGGTTAAATTCGTGTCTACACTTACCTATGGGCCTCACTCCACTACACAACACTTCATACATCACTTCATACGTTAGGGCGCTTTCTGGACCTGGTGCATTCGGATGATTCGAGCATTTTGAATGCATCTGGTCCACAAAGGCGTCCAAATGCATGTACAATGTTGTGTAGTGGAGCGAGGCCTTATGGTGTGATTTTGAACATTTCAAAAAGATATGACTATGCGCCATTAGTTAGTGCATGATGTGGAATGGTTGCGTTTTCAGAGTGTTTTGATAACTTCTATTGCTGTCCTTTGCTGATCAATAATCCTTCAAGCACTTCTAATGTGTTTTTAAAATTTATGATAATCTAATCATAGATAATTTGACCCTACTCAATAGTAGTTAACAATTATCAAAACGTTGATACCCAGAAAAACTATAACAGCAGGAGAGGTCAGGAGGACTGACCATCAACTTCTGTCTAAACCACCAGTGCACCGCCCCAGCCTTGCAGAAATTTGTTTGTCGCCTACTCCATAAATTTTGCGGCTTCCGCCTGCCGGACCACAATGGCTGGCGGCACCAGCCAAAAAAGAAAGGACTGCACCACTGGAGGTTCCAAAAAGCTCGAAGCGCAGTGCAGCGCCTGCAGGCCCGGGTGTACTGGTGGTTTTAAGGAAAGAAGAAAGACCTTTGAGTTCCTCTTTTTGGGAAAAAGAATCAAAAACAAAAAACTGGGAATAACATCCCTGGGACCATGTATTGGCCATATATTCTCATGATGAAAACAATGAAAGTTCACACCGCTTGGAACAAACCTTGCTACCAAACTTTATTGCCGAACTCTATTCGACGATCTGCTGTATTCACAATGCACAATTGCTTGGAACGAACCCTGCTACCAAACTTTATTGCCGAACTCTATTCAAGTCAAACTTCACAAAGTCTCAGAGGGAAAAAGGGAATCTCAACAACCTCGAGTCAGAGATGATCATCCGCATATAGTTGCGTGCGATCAAGATGTGTTTCTGCCGACACGGCAGCAAGAAATCCGACGGCTGAGACCTGCCGATCTGACTGACACTTCAGGGAAGCATCAAAGGCGTATGACATATGAGCTAGCATGTGTAACATATCGCACCCAGCGATAAGGATTATATGTCCGCGATTGCTTGACAATTTGGAGGTACCGCACCTGCATAGCATGAGTTCAACCAGTGCAACATCAGGTTCAACCGGTCAGATCGTACCACTAGTTATGTTTACCCTGAGTCACACTACTGCATAGCATAAGCTCAACAAGTGAGTTTGTGCCACAAGTTACATTCATGCCATGTCTCACACACACACACACACACACACACACACACACACACACACACACACACACACACACANAGAGAGAGAGAGAGAGAGAGAGAGAGAGAGAGAGAGAGAGAGAGAGAGAGAGAGAGAGAGAGGGAGAGAGAGAGAGAGATTTCCATTGTGTTACCACAAACCAAAAGAAAGTTGCGGACAGGGGCAATACAAAGAGGAGAGCACCTCCAAATTCCAAAGATCTGTCCATGATTCATTAATGCACTTCACAGCTGCTTTTACCACACTCTAAGGTACTTTACCGCACACTAAGACAACAGCTCACTCGTTATGGTTCCCAGTGTGAGGTCCAGGGATCAAGCCCTGGCCCCGATCTGTAACGCAGCTTCAACAACGGCAGTTTTAACTGCACAGAAACTCTGGATCTGTACCACGACTTCACAGCTGCAGTCTCACCTAACATAGACCCTTCAACAACGGCAGTTTTAACTGCACAGAAACTCTGGATCTGTACCATGACTTCAGCAGCTGCAGTCTTGGGACATTCGTCACTCCGGGACGCTTCATGACTTCCGGGCCGTTTGAACAGATGGCCATAAGGGCCGCCTTCATGGTCTTCCGGACGTTCGTCACTCTGGGACGCTTCATGACTTTCGGGCCGCTTGAACAGATGGCCATACGGGTCGCCTTCATGGTCTTCGGGACGTTCGGGTCGCTTCGGGATGCTTCATGACTTTCGGGCGGCTTGAACTGATGGCCATAAGGGTCGCCTTCATGGTCTTTGGGACGTTCGTCACTCCCGGACGCTTCATGACTTTCGGGCCGCTTGAACTGATGGCCATAAGGGTCGCCTTCATGGTCTTCGGAGCGTTCGTCACTTCAACAGCTGCAGTCTCACCTAACATAGACCCTTCAACAATGGCAGTCTTAACTGCACAGAAACTCTGGATCTGTACCACGGGTTCAACAGCTGCAGTCTCAGCTAACATAGACCCTTGCGTTTGCGGATTCAAGAGAGAGATTGCAGGAGTCTTTTATGCTTATCTGACAGCATAGGCACTGCATCTTTGATCTCACACTAACAACTGCCTGCTGGTTGTCAACAACCTGAGGACAAGACATAGGTGAAGGAAAGAGAGGCATTATAGCTTGGGGCTGAGAATGGATGGGTTATGTTATGGTCTGAAGCATGGAGATTCAGGCACAAGGGAAGCAGCCATATCCACCACGAACAGAGCAGCTTTTTCTTTATTTTTCAATGGGACAGAGCAGTTATGGAGGGAGAAGAGGGAGCTGAGAGAGGAGGCAGCAAGAGATTTTTTGCCCACTGTGGTTTGCCTGCTGTGTCCTCTGAGATGTGTGAACTGAGCTGATTAATTGCAACGAGCATCAGCTAACAATCTGGACAACAGAAAAAGTAAAGAATTTCGGGCGGACAAGAGAAGAGAGAAGAGAGGGAGAGCCAGGAGAAGCTAATTGTCACATTCGGCATACTCACACTAGGGGAGCAGGTATAGGGACAGAGGAGAGAGCTGAGAGAGGTAGCGGCCAGGGATGCTTGGAACATGCTCACGCTAGGACTTACTCAACCAATCTGGTCAGAATTGCAGTCAGGTGCATACAGGATGGCATGAGCGGCTGTGTGCCCTTCTTACCTGTAAACGAGAGGCTGTGTACATTGGGATGTTGAATGTCATGCTGACGGGACCAGCTTCTTTCCTCAGATTGGCTGAAATCAAGTCGTACAAATATGAGACAAAAAAAAGAAGACAAAAACCACATGCCACAAGCACAACGTCAACCCTTACAGTTGTGTAAATAAATTTGAAATTGCTAACAACTATGCTCGCAGGCCAAGCAGTGGGTATCCACCCGGTCAGGGTTCAGGCAGAGTCCCAGGCAGTTTCAGTGCAAAATATTAAAAGAGTCCAAAAAAAGACATGAAAATTTTGAAAACTGTAACATTGCACTGCAATTTCCAAACAACTTTCGGTTGAAGTTCACCTTGAAATTCCGAACCCCTTTGAATCGAACAGACCAACGTACTAACAGCATACTTCAACTACCACTACATCTGCACCTCTGTTTGGCAGGGCGGATTCCCCTTGCGTGCCAAGCTTTGCAGAAACGCCAGCACAGCGGATTTTCTTTTCTTTTGGCTGGTGCCGGCTTGGGCAGCTGAGCCAAATTCAACTACACTTGAATGGATGGTTCATTGTCCTCCATTGTGGTCCTTTAGCCCCTGGCCTCCCAAATTTTCGGATTGGCTCGATTTCGGTTCTCAGGTTTGCCTGGGCGATGTACTAGCAGTTCAAATATATACCAATAGGTCCAATACACTATATAGATTGACATCTTCAGCTATTAGAAAGAAGCCCACTGAAAGGATTTCAGGCTGTGTCATCGTCCTGAGTCTTGGTTCCAGAGTCCCACCTGGTTCCAGTCCCATGGGTCCCAGTTGAACCTAGTCCCAAGGGTCCCGGTAGGTTTCAGTCTTATGGTCCTAGAGGCCTGTGGGAGTCCTGTAGAGTCCAGTAGGGTCTAGAAGTTTAAAAGCCACAGGTTGGTAGAAGTCTGGCCCGGTACCCAACAGAATAGTCCACAGTCCCAAAACTCATGTGTCGCAGGAGCATCCAAGAGGAGTCTGGCGACTCTAGGAACTAACAATTGTAGCCGACAGGCCACAGGGACCATTACAGTTGCGAGCGGACAAAGACCACCGAGAGCTGCAATTGAAAGATGCTACAGTACCTGTTCGGGACACTTGTCAATTCGCATGTTGCGGAAGCTCTGCTGTAGAGCTTGTGCGACCTACGGGTTGGGCAGTCCGAGGTTGGCGAAGGAAGACGAGGGTGACAGGAACCATAGCCAGGGTTGAGAGGAAAGAAGTCGTCCACATAGTGAGGTAGGGTAGTGAGAGAGTGAGTGTGTATTCAGGAAGTGAAAGTGAGCGGTCCAAGGATTGGAGAGAGAGAGAGACAATGAGCAAGTGAGGTTGACCGCTTGAAGCATTGACAGCACAGAGAGAGAGAGAGAGAGAGAGAGAGAGAGAGAGAGAGAGAGAGAGAGAGAGAGAGAGAGAGAGAGAGAGAGAGAGAGAGAGGTTACCTGCTTGTTGATGCTGGCGATAGCGGCCACTAACTGCTTGTATTCGAACTCATTGATTGTACAATATAAAGTGTTTGGAGGGGTTCTCATCCTCGTATGTGCTGACTTGTCATCTCGATGCTTGGGGTGAATGCTCAGAGTTTTCTGTGTGCTGCAAGTGCGATCTGTGTTGAAATCACTCGGGTTCTTACACTGATATCGGAGCATACTGTTACACTCACAAGGAGGAACTAGAGGCCGGTGCTGATCAACGCCGAAGGGAGGAGCTGAACTGGGGACGATTGAGGAGAGAAGTGGCGAGGAAAGGGGGATTGATAAGGAGCGTGTAGCTTCGGAGCGGCAAGTGGCGAGGAACTTCATCAAGCGAAGACCCGAGTGAAGTGCTTCGACCCCTGAGCCTTTTATTTTATGCAATTCCTTTGTTTTCGGAATCTGCCGCTGCTTTCCTGGATGCTTATGCTGCTGGTGGCAATGACTGTTGATGTCATCTTGAGTCCGTGCTTGACTCTGCTGATGTCTGTTTAGGTCTATGGTAGGAGCCTAGCGCATGAAAACTGCTGGAGGAAAGGCTTTCCCGCGGTTCTTGTGGAGTGTACAGGGTTGCATGCCCCGCCGGGGGGCCTGGAAATCCTGATTGTAGACCCTGTACCTGTAAGGTTGATCCTTCTTGCGGCGGCCAAGGGTAAGCATCGTGGGGTGTGCTAGCCTAATTGTGCAATGAGCCCAGACGTGATGATACTCGTCAACATTACCAGCCCATATGATTATCAACCTGCTGATGAATGACAAACAATCGCAAATGTGTGTAGAGAGACTGAGGTGGAAAACATACACAGACGAAGAGGAAAAGGGGAGAATAGACAAAGGAGAGAGAAGAAGACAACAGCCCACTTCTGCTTCGGGTCCCTCCTCCTGCTCGCCACCTCATCAATCAATAGACTAAATACAATGTCTGAAGTTCTTTCTCAATGTGCCATGTGGCACGTCAATCTGTCTACATCAGCGAACTGGAGAGTATCGTCATCAACCAGGTACGTATCCTCGTTAACCACAGTCTTGATCCCCTTCCGAAGTGATGAAGAATCAGAACAGCCTCATCAATCTCGCAGCCCGCCACGTCATCAATCATATACAGGTGGCAGCGGCCAGGTCAGCAATGGCGCATGACAGCTGCCACGCCAGCATGCCCAGAAGACCATCGCCAGCCAGCCACTATGCCAGCCAGCAGCGCCTTGCCATCCTCCTCCTATGCCAGCATAGAGCCAGCGTCAAGCCAATGTCGCAGCGTCGCAGCGTCAATGTCAAAGTCAATGCGTGCAGCATTGACACAAGACCGAATGCCCCTCCAGCCAGGAAGTCAACTCTTAAGTAGCGTGGATGCGGGGTCTGGACCCCGGGTGCTGAAGTCCTGCACCGTCCAGATCTCGATGTGAATGAGGGCCCAGATTGGCCAGAAACTGTATTCCTCCCGCCCTGAATGCTGTCTGGGTACCTGCACACAACAAGTGAATGTATCCGACCATAGGCCTGGGCGCAGTACCTTTGACTCTACAGTTGACTTTGACTGTTTCCTTTGTGCCGCGTTCGGTCACACAGCCTCCTCGACAGACTCAGGCTGGGCATGTCTCGGTCACATACTCCAGCACAGACAATTGAGTCTGTGTTTTTACCGGGGGCGAAGTTCTGAGCCCCGGTCTGCTGCTGAACAGGGTTACTGCATTCCTGCCGACCCAATTTTCGAGTTCCATCGCAGAAACATTTAAGACTTCAACCCACGTTCATAAGCAGAGACAATATCAGGAGCAGATTCAAGGAGTTCTCTTTTACTAAACCATCTGTCCTCAGATGGTGCTTGAGTCTTAAAACGTACCTTGAATTGCTTCTGGGGTCGTCCACGTGCACCTGTAGAGAAGAACACATGTTCTAGAATTCGGTCCACCATCCATATCTGGCGGTATCATAGATGGTCTATGGGGGAATTCATCTCCTTCTACGTAAGGTAGCAACTTGGACGCATGAAAGACAGAATAGGTCTTGAGATGAGGGGGTATATCAATTTTGTGGAACGATCCCTCTGCATCTCCAATCACTTTAAGAACTTCCCAGGGTCCAAAATAGACAGGCAGAAGTTTCTGAGACACATTTTTTTCTAGTGAAAACTCTTTAGACTTGACCCAGACCAGATCACCTTCTTTGAACGTTGATGGTCGTCGATGTTTATTAGCTTGTTCGATCATCCGATCCTGAGCTTTCTTTAGATTGTCCTTTACCTTTTTAATGTCTTCTTGAAACAATACTGCGTATTCTCGGGTCCCTGGAGGTAACCTAAGAAACTGGTCCCTTGTCAATACATCAATGGGACGCTTAGGTTTCCACCCTTTATGCAGTGCGTTAGGTGTTCGTCCTGTAGAGGTATGAACACTACTATTGTATGCACTTGCTATTTTAGGTAAGTTCTCATCCCAATCTATTTGATCGGGTCTTATATACATGCGCAGAANGAGAGAGAGAGAGAGAGAGAGAGAGAGAGAGAGAGAGAGAGAGAGAGAGAGAGAGGTTACCTGCTTGTTGATGCTGGCGATAGCGGCCACTAACTGCTTGTATTCGAACTCATTGATTGTACAATATAAAGTGTTTGGAGGGGTTCTCATCCTCGTATGTGCTGACTTGTCATCTCGATGCTTGGGGTGAATGCTCAGAGTTTTCTGTGTGCTGCAAGTGCGATCTGTGTTGAAATCACTCGGGTTCTTACACTGATATCGGAGCATACTGTTACACTCACAAGGAGGAACTAGAGGCCGGTGCTGATCAACGCCGAAGGGAGGAGCTGAACTGGGGACGATTGAGGAGAGAAGTGGCGAGGAAAGGGGGATTGATAAGGAGCGTGTAGCTTCGGAGCGGCAAGTGGCGAGGAACTTCATCAAGCGAAGACCCGAGTGAAGTGCTTCGACCCCTGAGCCTTTTATTTTATGCAATTCCTTTGTTTTCGGAATCTGCCGCTGCTTTCCTGGATGCTTATGCTGCTGGTGGCAATGACTGTTGATGTCATCTTGAGTCCGTGCTTGACTCTGCTGATGTCTGTTTAGGTCTATGGTAGGAGCCTAGCGCATGAAAACTGCTGGAGGAAAGGCTTTCCCGCGGTTCTTGTGGAGTGTACAGGGTTGCATGCCCCGCCGGGGGGCCTGGAAATCCTGATTGTAGACCCTGTACCTGTAAGGTTGATCCTTCTTGCGGCGGCCAAGGGTAAGCATCGTGGGGTGTGCTAGCCTAATTGTGCAATGAGCCCAGACGTGATGATACTCGTCAACATTACCAGCCCATATGATTATCAACCTGCTGATGAATGACAAACAATCGCAAATGTGTGTAGAGAGACTGAGGTGGAAAACATACACAGACGAAGAGGAAAAGGGGAGAATAGACAAAGGAGAGAGAAGAAGACAACAGCCCACTTCTGCTTCGGGTCCCTCCTCCTGCTCGCCACCTCATCAATCAATAGACTAAATACAATGTCTGAAGTTCTTTCTCAATGTGCCATGTGGCACGTCAATCTGTCTACATCAGCGAACTGGAGAGTATCGTCATCAACCAGGTACGTATCCTCGTTAACCACAGTCTTGA